CCCCCACCTCTTCCCCCACCTCCACCACTCCCTTTCCCACCTGGTCCTCAATTTCTTATCACCACCTCCACCACTTTCCTACTTCTTCCCTACTTCTTCCCAGTGTCTCCGATCTCTCCATCCCTCCCCACTATTCTAGTCCTCCAGTCCCTCTTCCCCAATCACTCTCCCTCACCCTCTCGACAAATCTTCCACCTCTCCAACATCCACGCCAGCTTTTCTCTTTCCCCTTAACTCTTACCCCACCATTCATTATCTCTATCCCTCCCAACACCCTGCTCAATTCATACAAGTACTAATTCAAAAAACTTTTGTACTTTGTAGTTATGTTTTTGATGGAAAGCCCCCTGAATTAAAGTCTGGTGAGGTAATGGTTGAACATAGTTGTGTTTGTTGTATGTTATGCCCAGTTTTACACTGTTTTACAGTAGTTGTAGGACGAATCGTATGCTACATCTTATGTTTAACCCCTTAAGTTGCATTGCGCCCCAATGGGACCGGGACCTACTTTATTACAATATTTTACTCATTAAGGGGACGTGCTTCTCAATGCCGGGTTAAGAGAACTGATGCTACTCTATTTTAGCTTGCAAAAAGAACAGAAAGAAGGGAACAGGCACAAAAGGAACTTCAAGAGGCTGAAGAAGCAGGTTTGGTACTATTATTATTATTTGGTATTTATTTATTCTGTCACTTTAAACAACCTCCAATAGATACAGGGCTGCAAATAAATATTTGACTTGACAGGACATTTGTCCGATCACTTTTAATTTTGGTCGGACATAACTTGAATTTGGTCGGACAAAAACTAACATCACTACGTTTTGATCGGACATATATACGTCACAAGATATATATAAGTCACGAGACAAGTATGCATGTATATAGCCATTCCGGCGCAACGTTAAGTAAAATGCTAGAATGCTTCGTAAACTTTATTGCAAAATGCAAATTGAGTGAATTTGCAATCGGATTTTGTCACAGCAAAAAAAGTATAATTTTTTTGTGATCGGACCAATGTCCGATCAAAATTACTTTTGCTCGGACATTTGCCAAATTTAGTCGGACATTGTCCGATGTCCGACAGTAATTTGCAGCCCTGAGATATTTACCTGTATATAAAACTGGCAAATGGAAAATCAAAATAAATTTTTTTCAATCTACAGGGGATACGGAAATGATTGATAAAACTCAACGTCGTCTGGTAAGTTGCAACTATTTTAGTTAAAAAATTTTAATTCAGGTGGAATGTGGACAAGAATAAAATACAATTTCTAAAAAAATCCTTCAGGTTAAAGTGACAAGACAACACAATGATGAATGCAAGACCGTTTTGAAGTTAATGGGTGTTCCACATGTAGATGTAAGTGTTAATGTCATCCAGTATTTTAATTTAGATATGGTGATTAAATGTTTCTGATGTACAATTTTAAACGCAATCTTTGCACATATGAAATGCATTTAGCTTGCATTTATCATGCTAAACACCAATGTTTATTTACACCAATTTTATAAACACCAATGTTTATTAGAGACTGCTAATCATGTATGACAGATAATCCATTTTAGCATAAACACAAACTAACCCTCAAGTTTATACTTACTGTAACTGTTTAGTTTATGTATTTCTGCTCGTTCAGAACTTCAGAGAAGATAACTCCCTCTGACCCAGACAAGATTTCAGAAGAAATATTTCCAAATTTATAAACAAGCTGTTAGATAGTTTGCTTCAAATTTTACATTGGGTTAAGCTATAATCGGCTTTCAAACAACCAACCCCTGGGTGCAAATAATGTCTGATATTCTTTTGATAGTTCACCTTATGTTGCATATAATTATACACAGGCAAATTATAAGACAAACTATCTTTTCATTGCCAATGTTCATCCAGACGGATATCTTCTGTCTCTGGTATAAATCAGGCCATTGTTGGTGGATTTTGAAAACGAATTTTCTGTTTTCCCTAGGCACCATGTGAAGCAGAGGCACAGTGTGCTTCTCTTGTTGCAAACGGAAAGGTATGTAATTACCAGGGCTTCACTATTGTATTTGTATTGTAACAGTGTTGTAGGGTGAGTTTACTAAGGACTATCGTGCAGCAGATTGTGGTCAACTGGCAGTTGTCAGAGTGAGAATCAAAGTATTAATTTCCAGCACTGATTATAATTGACCATTTGCGTAATACACTAAATTTTGAACTAAACAAGTCTAGACAAAAATTTCATCACAGCTTGAAGGAGCATCACAAAATTAGTAATATTCCAAAGTTTCGTTGCAAAATGTCGTAAAATGCGGAAAATATAGCCTTGCGAAATTTGCAATTTTCAGTCATTTTAGATTACAAACGGGAAATTGACAGCCCCAAACCCTTTGAGGCTGTCAATTTCCGGTTTGTAATCTAAAATGACTGAAAATTGCAAATTTCGCAAGGCTATATTTTCCGCATTTTACAACATTTTGCAACGAAACTTTGGAATATTACTAATTTTGTGATGCTCTTTCAAGCTGTAATGAAATTTCTGTTGAGATAAAAATTTAGTCTATTACGCAAATGGTCAATTGGAGGCGAATAAATAAGAGAATGTGTCCACATGTTTAAAGTTCATTGACAGACCATCATCGGCTGCTCTAGCGATTACTGAAACTTGCCCTTTTACTCTGTTTTCCCAAGGTTTATGCTACAGCAACAGAAGATATGGACAGCTTGACATTTGGTTCTTTAATAACTTTGCGACACATGACATTTAGTGAGGCAAGGTATAGGCTTGTATTAAGGATGTCTAAGGTTCTTGCTTTTCCCCCATTCTAGTTGACTACTTTTTCCGTGCTTAGGAAAATGCCAATCCAAGAGTTTCACTTGAACAAAATTTTGGAAGAACTAAGCTTGTCAAAAGATGAAGTAAGCTAAAGTAATTTATTTCCTCGTTTTTAGTGTGAAGTTTCTTCGAAACTTCACAGTATTGTGATGACTGGGGGGAAATTCACACGAATCAGTCAGTCATTCATTCAGTCATACAGTAAACTTTCCGGGGGGTGTGTACGATTTATGTTCGTAGTGATTTATTGTGCTTTGTCAGTACTTTGAAGGTTATTTAAGCAATTTCAGTTGACTTATTTACATATTCTGTTATCCTTTTGCCAAGTTCACAAAAAATTTCGAGGAATCGCTTTTGTTATTGTAATTTTTTGTAAATTTTAAAACATTCGCTTCTCATGTTGTGTAAAGGATCTTTACCCCGGAACACCCGATTTTTCTTTAGTAGCGCAAATGCGCATGCGCTATCAAGCCGTAGATCACGATGGCGTGACGATATGCTAGGAAGGAGTGACAGTGTTGTTTTCAGATGTATAAACATTTCAGACGTGAATATTGAGTAAATGTTTGAAAATCTACGCAATATATAAATTGATCTTATGCATTACGGGCGTTCAATTAAGTGCCGATAATATTTAGACGGTATATTCATTATACAGAGCTAGGAAGGAGCTAGAACGCCTAGACAGTGCAGTTAACACTCAACTCTCAAGTGCATAAACATTTCAGACGTATTAAATATTGAGTCGAAAATCTTTGAGATTCTAGGCATTCAATTGAGTGCTGATATTATTTTCACGGTATACTCATTATACGGAGGTATACAGTACGTGCGAAGAAGCGAGACTGTGTTGTTTTCAAGTATATAAACATTTCAGACATGAATATTGAGAAAATCTTTGAGATTCTACGCAATAATATAATATATAAATTGATGTTATGGCATTCAATTAAGTGCCCATCGATATTATTTAGACCGTGTATTCACTATACATTCTCATTGACTGTATAAGGTGCTACATCACAGAACTCAGTACAAAGAGCGAAAAATTGCATCAGATCAATAAAGCGTAAACAACTATTAAACAGAAGCGGGTGTTTGTACAGGCGTTTGCGAAGAAAATTTTGCGAGACGAAAGAAATCAGTCGAGTCAGAGCTCCTTAATACCTTATTTAAATAAGAAAGACGAGGAGATAGCCAATGTGTTATCGCCAACGTGTTATCGCCAATCGCTTGGCTCGCCAACAAGATTTATGCAATGGAAGAAAAAAGCAAGGAGGTACATGTAGCCAACGTGTACTGTTACGGACCTTGTTTACTGTCTAGCACAACGCCGTTGTCAACGGTGCAAACTCGTGTTCAGTGCAACGATAACTCTACCAGATCTTACGAGAATCAATCTGTAGTATTCTGTACACAGAACTGTATCAAAGCTTGTCAAAACTGCTTTAAACACTGCAGCTATAACTGTGAAACCATCGAAATCTAAAGTGACATTATTCAACACATGCGAAAAGCTGAAAATAGACACAACGTAACCTTCGAAAAGTCAAAGGTCAATGAGACTTGTTATTGTGAAACATGTCACAATTAGGTTAAAATGCGGAAGCGGATGGAGCGGATCCACGGAACGGATATGCGGATAAAATACGGAACGGATGAAGATAAAATGCTTCCTTTCAATGATATAACGACGTAGTGCTTATTATTCGTAATATATCGTATACAGCTATTTCAATTATAGTTTTAGATAAGTTTAGCATAGCAGTAGCCTCGTGGGGTGGCGACAGCTGCAAATTTTAGCGACAGCTGCAAATGCAAATGCAAATGAAAATTTAGAATATGCAAAATTTGGTTGTTGGTGAAACAATTAAAATTTAGCATGCGTGTAGCATCACAATAAATAGATAAATTGTGTCAGTTTCACAAGGCACGTTTCTGATGTGTTAGGCTTGTTTCAAACGTCACGCTACTCGTGTGCCGAGCGCATTAAAAGCAATAGATAATGAGATGAAATGCCTTTGGTAATTGTTTATTTCGTAGTGTAAGCCATCGATTAGCTTTTCTAGGTTGTCAGCGAACCTATATAGTTCTTGCAGTGTCTTTTTCAATTTGAAACTTCACACTATCCTTGGATCCCTAGTTGTGATTGAAATGATTTAACCAATGTCATGGACATACACGAAAATGAGGCTCTATAGCCAAAATGATGTACTAGTCCTGGAAGGGTGTATTTAAATGCTTGGTTACCTTTGCTCCATTCTATGTTTACATTATCAGAACAGTGGTAATTCACCACTTGCACCGTGGGCGCCATGCACGTGTACTTGGCACAGTAGGCATATATGAGTTTCCTGAAAATGTGAATTGGATCAGATAAAACGTTTAGATCTGTAATTTTTTATTACCGTAATATTGTTAATCTATTCTAATTAATTTGTAGTTTATCGACCTCTGTATTCTTCTTGGTTGCGATTACTGTGATTCTATCAAAGGTAAACGGAACTAAACCCATGTACATGTTTCCAAAAGGTTTACCAAAATTGAATTCTCGTTGCCTTTTGTTTTGGGCTTTTCACCGTTTAGGTATAGGACCAAAGAGAGCTATTGATCTGATCAGACAACATCGAACAATTGAAGGAATTATAAAACATATTGATTCTAAAGTAAGACATCGACTTTCCCATTTCTTATAGCATGGATAATAAAATAAATGGATGGGAAACTAGCTGACGTGATCTAATGTTTTCAATGGGCTGATGGCGTGATTGGATGTTGAAACCTAGTTGCAAACCAAATTCTCAAAAACGGCATGTTTAGCAATAATACAGCTAAACATTTTAGTCAAAGAATAAATGAATATAACTACGCCATTCTACGATGAAATCTCTAAGTATTCCCAGTCAATTTTAGCAAATATTTGAAGCACTAAACAGTGAAAAATGCATCGCAAATTTCGTTAAAATTGGGGACGCCAATTTCGTAGCTACAAATGTAAAAAAATACAAAACAAAGACGAAAAACATTTACCTTGAATACTTTGTCGTGGCTTAGGCATGTTTTTAAAACAATTAGACCGGTTTGTGCTTCAATATTGCTCTTTTAAGGCGGAAAATATAGCGAAACAACAAAAATGCAGAGAACTTTGCAATACGCGTGACGTCACAGATTGCAACTAGGTTGTTTTTGCTTACGTCAGCGAGAGTCCTATCCATTTATTTTATTATCCATGCTTATAGTAATATACACTTAATGTCTGCTCCCGACGGAAATAGTTAGTTTTGTTTTCCCGAGAGTCTCAATGTTTCCCGAGACGAAGTCGAGGGAAACATTGAGATTCGTGTTTTGTTATATAACGACGAACAAAAATCAACTTCAACAACATTCATATAGTGATATACAACAATTGTTTTTCGTGGCAAAAACTCTATAGAGTAAACGAGTTTAAAATTAAAGAACCTACTTGAACGGTTTCGGCAGCATATCCTGTTTCCTGTTCTGTATTTTTCTTCCCTTTTACATTCTTTATTTGAACACAAACTTGGAAAATCGTAGTTTCTAATTATCTGAGTTGTGCCTCCATTTTGTTTATTTATGTACGTGGCCGGTCGGGGCGGGCAACAATTTTTCACTTGTTGCTCGGCGGGAAACATTGCATTTATCTGAAGTCACGTGACCACAAATCAGCCAATCACGTTTGGTGTTCACGTTAGCTATATAACAAGGCAACTTGGAACACGGACATTGTGTGCATATGCGCTGAATTAATATAATTATTTTCTTACAGAAATATCCTATCCCTGAAGATTGGAAATACAAGGTGCGTGACTTAATGTTGGATGTTGACACAAATCTAAAACATCACGAAACCATGGAAACAACCAAATATACAGTTTCATTCTTGACCTTTCTTTCGCCATGTAGGAAGCACGAGAATTATTCAAAAATCCCGTCGTTGCTGACCCAGAAAAAGTAGAGGTATTGTTGAAGGCAACATTTAATAAAGTGTTAATCAGGGCTTTTAAACGGACGGATAAACTTGATCTTGAATTTAGTTTTGAGACTCAGTCATGTCATTATGTCACTAGGTGCGATATTCTTCTTCTGATGGATGTGAACGAGTGGATAAGTTATGAATGTTTTAGTACTCCAAACATTCGTAACTCATCTACTCGTTCACATGCATCAGAAGGAGAAAATCGCACTAGAAATCGTAGCAAGAATTGCAGGTGTAAACAGGCCTTTAAATGTGCTGCAAATTGAAGTTGTTTGGGTTGTATTTGTAACGTGGAAATAATTTTTCCCGTGGCAACTCAGCAAAGTTAAACACACATGTAGCATGGAATATGTTTCACAATACAAGAAAAACCATGAACAAGAATGGGAAAGTACGTGTAATGAAAAGAACTAACATTATTTTCTCACTCTGCTTGTTGACCACTGAAAGTCTGAAATCCACCAATTCAAAACCAGGGAATAATTTGATGCAACGTTTTCTTCTCTTCAGTTGAAATGGAATGATCCAGATGTAGATGGCCTTGTGGACTTTCTTGTTACACAAAAAGGTTTCAGGTAAGTTCACCAATCACGTGAACAGTATTAGAGAGATTCATCTCTCACTGGCTTAGTAAACATCTGATTGGTTGATCGGATATATCAAACGCATCTGATTGGCTAATGGTCCCTTACTGGTAGTGGACGTTGGGCTCTTTCACCTCTGAGATTCGGTGGGATCGATTCTTGTTCCGATAGTCAGAATCAGTCAATACACTCTCGAAAGTCGTGGGTTTTCTGTGTGTACACTTGTTCCTTCTACAGGATTGTTGAGAAGATGGATGATTGTGGTACAGTGGTTACATACTGTAGTTATTCCATAGTCCTCGTGGCCGTAGTTCGATTTGTGCAATGTTCATTGTTTGTTTGTAATTTTGCCTCTGTTGCTGTAGGAAGAATACTTCCAGTTTGACCCTGCGAAGATCGCGGGTATTCTCTGGATACTCCGGTTTTCTCCTGTAGTAACACTTGGCCAACAAGGGATTACTCTTACTGGACTCGTAGGGAGTACAGTGTAGAACTGATGGAGTTATCCAGTGTATCACTCCGTGTAAAAGAATCCGAAATCCAGCAAATTTCATGCTTTGGAATCCACAATCCAGAGCATGGAATCCGGAATCCAGTTTATTGATAGAATCTTAAATCCAGATAAGAATCCATTTACTTTTACGAGGATAGAATCCGGCGTCCACGACTTGGGATTCTGATTCTGAGTTCTTCATGGATTCCTTTACATAGGGCGAAGTATAACTAAAGTGGTTTCCTATAATAAAACTAGACCAACAATTAATAGCCTGATATAGCTATACAATAAGGAGCCTGATATAGCTATACAATAAGGTTGTTTAGATTAGATTTCTGACTAGACCCGTCATGTATCTCCTTTTAGTGAGGACAGAATCCGATCTGGGATTACAAAACTACAGAAAGCGCGAAAGACATCAGTTCAAGGCAGACTCGATGGTTTCTTTAAAGTGATTTCAACAACACCTAACGCTACGAACAAACGCAAGAACGACAGCAAAAAGACGAAAGGACCTGCTGCCAAAAAAGCGAAGGCAGGTAGCTTTGGTAAACGACGATAACGGTAAAAAAACTTTTTATTATTTTTTGACAAAAAAACTTGGTTCTTTCTTGCACAAATACGACGATAACGGTAAAAATACTCTTTATTATTTTTTGACAAAAAAATTTTCTTGCAAAAATACTAATAAAAACACTTGTAAAAAGGTTTTGTATATGCTTTATGCTTTAAATGCATGTCTTGAATAAAAGAAAGACTAAGGAATGAAAGAATAATTATATTGCACGTATTTTTTCGATTTTACATGTACTTTAAAAAGTAAAAACTAGATAAATATCTTTTCTGAAACGATTATCAAACCATTGAGTAGATATATCAAACCATTGAGTAGATATATCAAACCATTGAGTAGAAAATAGAAATATGCATATTTTTATAAACACCGGCTTTTATACAAATATAAATATAAATATAAATGGAAATAAACGTCTTGGTTTTATAAATATGGCGGCATATGTTTTTAATTCCTTGATTTGACTTTGTGGAGAATTTGAAAGTTTTTATTTAACGATAACTTCGATAAGAATTTGCAATTCTGCGTTTTCGTGATATAGTTTAACCATTGTAATAGGCAATTCCAGCTTTTAATTTATGCGTGCAGGGGGTGATGGGAAGTGAGGTATCATGTTGCTGACTATGCTGAAAAAATAAAAATTGAGTGCCCGTGTAAACACGGAGTGATAGCTTATACTTGTAAATATTGAAATATTTACAAGTATAATTCGGCAGTTTTTATTGAAATTTTTCAGCATAATCAGCAACATGATATTACGAAAGTCACCGAACTGTGGAATCGCATAAAAAATTCGTATATCGACCACTCCCACAAACGTCTACGACCGCGCCTACATAGTTTTGCATGTTTACAATTCTAATTTTAAACAGCCAATCGACGTTTAATTGTAATGTTACCAAGAACCTGATTGGCTGTTCAAAATAATAATAATAGTTTAATAATAATAGTAAATATATAATTAGAATTGTAAACATGCAAAACTATGTAGGCGCGGTCGTAGACGTTTGTGGGAGTGGTCGATATACGAATTTTTTATGCGATTCCACAGTTCGGTGACTTTCGTAATACCTTACTTCCCATCACTCCCTGCGCGCATAAGTTAAAAGCTGGAATTGCCTATTCACAGACTATTGCGATATAACTATCAACATGGGGAAAAACGCTTCACAGTTCACAGCCAGTGATCACTGGATTATGACTGGATGGCACTATCGTTATGCATACAGTAAGTGTTATTATCTAAAGGTCTTTGAAAACAGAGCTTACGATATCAAAAACGAGGGCTTAGAATTTCTAAGTAGTTGTACGCCTTGTCAGTTCTTAAAGCTTTCTTGAGCAAAAAGCTGAATGGCCAACGGTACTTAACATCACCATCCAGTGAGGTATCAGTCCAACCCATTCTTTGAGCAACAAATTTACCAACTATTTTATACTCCCTTGGTTTACTGGTGAACTTTTCTTGCAGTAGTTGCATGATTTCAAAACAGAAACAGTTATGAGCAGAAGAGTGCGCCTTCGTTACTTTTCTCCATAGTTCTTTCTCCAAAGTAAAATTCGAAATGGAACGAGATGAACTGAAATTAAACATTTTCACCAAGTGAAACCGTAACTCAGCCATATGATGTGCAATGTCTAGGAATTTATCACTAAAAGTATTTGAAATGTTTTGAATGTCAACATTCGGAAAATTTGATGAAAATTCACGGCTAACTTCAAATGCAGATCGCCAACAGCTTGTGGCACATGTTTTTATCTTTATATATTCCTGTATTACCGTTTTATGAGGAAGCAACTCGTTTATACCTGGACATTCAAATAAACCTTCGTGGTTGAGCATGTTTCTCAAGTCTTCTTGCGGTGTACGGTAAAACTGGTTGTAAATCAGATGATATTCTGCCTCGCGTTCGGGAAATTTTGAAGGTCCAGTTTCCAGTAACAGTCCTAGATCTTGAAATGCTTGTTTGTCGTCCCACGAAATGTAGCGATTTGTCGCATGGTAGAGATATGCTAAGTAGATAGGCTGAATCCCGTCACTGTTTGTACAAATTAGTGGAAATGCTTGCATCTTTCGGCGAAACGCGTCCAACATTCCCATTCCGCGACTACCTGCAATGTGAAGTGGCGACAGGCCAACGAGCTCGGTGTTATGTTGAAAGCTGGCATGATTTTCCTCATCCATGTTTCCCAATAATGTATCGAAAATGCCTTTTCTGTGATTGTCAATTGGCGAAAACGTTGAAGAACTTGGGTAGTTGTATGTAGCAAAAACAAGGGCAGTCAAACCAGATTTCGTTTTCTTAGAAACATCAGCACCAATTTCTATGAACCAGGAGACTGCATGTATGTTTGTACCCTGCACTGCTCGATGGATTGCCAAATACCCTTCCTTGTCGTAACATTCGTTTAAAATTTCAACACCTTTGGGATGACTTGCAATGAATCTTTGAAGTGGAAATGGAATACCGTTGACTGACGGTTGGAAAAGATTCCCAACTTGTAGCGAAGGTGTTCCTAAATACGCCATAAGATGTAGCTCGGATTGTGTGAAAGGGATGTCACAGGCCACCTTTACATTAATTTGAAAAAATTTAAATACTTCCAGGAGTTCATCATATCGCCTACTCCAGTGAGTGGACACTGTCTCGTTTAAGTATCTTTTAAATTGTTCACGTGCACAGTTAACATCAAGTCCGGACTTGAACAGTGCGTACAAGCTTAAAGGTAGTCTGTGGTATAGCAAACGGCCCAATAAATTCTTGGATCTTATATCGCATTTCTTAATGGTTGCATTCTGTAACAGATAATTTGCCAATTCATCAAATTGGGTACTCTGACATACTTGAAACACTTGATCACTTGTCAACCGACACGGAAGAAAACTTTCAGTATCTAGAGGTTTTTCTCGCAATGCAAATTCCAAGGCAGTGTCACCCCTTTGATCTTCTATGCTCCAATCAGCTCCTGCGTTTACTAATAATTCTACGAGTGCTGGCAAGACGTGCACAGTTGCATAATGTAGAGCAGTTCTTCCATATTTATCTTGTTTATTTATGTCTGGTACGAGTACTTTTAGCAGCAGCCTTACCGTTTCTAAACGTTTTTCATTCACAATGTTGGCACGCCTTATGTTTGGACAAACGCACGCAGAAGACGCACACGATTGCGTTACAAAAACCTCTGTCTTACGCTTAGACGAGCCCAAGGTGGCAAAATGAAGCAGGGTTTTCCCATCTTCATAAACGGCTGTGAATTTACTCAAATTGTCACTGTTCAAGAGATGCTCAAGAGTCTCGACTGAATGACAAACCGCCACATAACGCAACATTATCTCGATGTTGGGAATAGAGTTTATTCTGTTGCCATATGTGGCATTAATAAAATCGACTTGATCATAGATGCCTGCGGCCGTTATCGCACTTGCATTATCAGTTGTATGAAGTTTTCCTTTGGATGTGAACGGGGTTGCCATTTTCCAAACTCCATGTGCCAAGGAGAAATGTATCACACCGTCTCCATTATAGCAAACAGGTTGGTTACAGTATCGACTGTATAACCACTCGTTTTCTTCGTATGCTTTGAAACTACAATCATGAAACAAGTTTGAAGTCAAACTTTCGCACTCCGCATCGATGTCTGCCCCTTTGCTTAGAAGAAGCTTAACCATTTGAGTATTTTTTCGCAAAAACGCCTCCATCAGGGGTGTTCGGCCCGAACCATGCTTACAGTTAACCGACGCAATACCATAATGAAGTATTAATTTTGCCATCTCCAGGTTATCTCTAGATACGGCTGCATGAAGGGCAGTTTCGCAAAAGCAGTGATGGAACCGATTAAGGTTTAGTCGACACCATGAGGTGTTTCCTGGTTTACAGGGCAAGCATTCGTCACGTAGTCCAGTATTAAGAAGAAACTGTACAATCTCTATTTGATTTCTTGCAGCGGCGTGATGAAGAGATATTGCGTCAGCATGAGCTCTGGTGTTGATGTAAAGTTGAACTATTTCAAAATGGCCCATTATAGCTGCAGCGTAGAGGGGTTTCCAACCACACTCGTCCGCTTGATCTATTTTGGCATCTTCTCTAACCAAAAGCTTCGCGATTTTTGTATGACCCCCATACGCTGCTACAAAACTCATACTGGAATTAGTTTCATGAGAACTACGGAGAACCATAAAATCCCAGAAAAAACAGAATGTGCGTTTTACGGCGTGATTAACATTCGCTCCGTTATCGATGAATAACTTTACATTTTCATAGTTACCTGCTTTCACAGCATACATCCCAGGGGTCCAGTCTCCATCATCCAGAATATCAACATAATTATTAAACTGTTTTATGAACACGGCAATAAGTTCAGTGGCATCTCTTTTTGGTGCAAGATCATGTAATATACATCTCTTCCAGGAATCTCTAACCTTAGACACGTTCAAAGAACTAAGCTTTCTTTTATTCGATACCGACACCTTGTCTCCATGCAAAATATGTGTACATAGGTCTGATAATTCTTCATAAGTTAGGATAGCCTGTCTTTCTTCGTAGAAATGAAATAGATAGTCAACTATAAATTGGTGGCCTCTCGATATTTGTATTACAATTACATTACTGTTACTGGTTTGGTTAATTAACCATTCTGCAAACGATTGATGGTGAAATTCAAGAGGTCCTTGGTCAATACCAGACTTGAAATATTGAGAAAGTTTGTTAGCAATTCTGCGGGTATTGTGATTTTTGTAGTGGTAGTTTAAAATTTTGCTTAACTCGGATAACGTTGGAGGCGAGTTTGCGGCAAGAAGTACCTCCAAAAGTGGCTCAAAATCAATAAAGTCTGCTTCTTTAAATCGCCTTGTGAAAGAAGATTTATAAATATCTCCTAAATTGTCTGCCATTGTCTGTGCGTTCATTTTGTCAGGATATTTTCGCCAATGCTTCATAATTGTTTCAAGAAATAGAAAATTACCTTTGGAAAACTGCACAGCCAAATCAATGGAGTGGTTCAGCGATAGTTTTTCCTCCATCGATGGTACTTCAGTGTAAAAGGTTTGAAGTGTTTGTTTTGCATAATTACGAAGGTCTTGTTCGTTGCGTTGGTCTTTTACATCTATTTTTATGGTCGACAATCCAACGTTAGACATTTCACTGGTAGTTAGTGCTAGGTTTCGGGAGGTAACTATTAATTTCACCCAATCTGGAAGTTCGGGAACACTGTTTGATAGAATATTCAGAATTATTGAGTGATGGCGTTCCTCTTTTTCCAAACATTCATCTAACGCGTCAATAAGAATAAACGAGTTGTTTCTTTCGGTGCCATTTAGCTTTTGAAGAGGCTCCACTATTGCCTTTTGAAAACATTCGATTGGGTTCTCCTTGCAATTGAACTGTAATTCGTCCTTCTTAAACTTGTCTTTCTGGACAATTTCTCGGAATTCGCGAATTTTCTTCGAAATTAGCTGAACTAAATTTCGCACGAATCGTTCTCCATCGCGTGTGGATTTTTCATTGTACTTGCAGAAATGATAACCGATAATATTCTCATGAATGACAGCACTGGACGACGACGAGTTAATCAAACGTTTCATGATCGCTGATTTACCCCAACCTAGGTCAGTTACAAGTTGAACACCACGTACGTCGTCGCTGGTGTTTAATATATCTAGCATTTGTCGAAAAACCCATTCTCGACCAACAAAACCTGGATTGGAAACGTTTTGATGGTAAGAATAGTCTACTTCTTCGATCCCCAAGTGGCTAGAAAGAACCAAATAAAATAGGCCTAGTAAAAGTAAAAGTGAAAGTACAAGTATGAAAAGTTCTGTCCACAGTGCCGCCTTTATCGATTTGATATTACTTGCATTCGTTTTCACATTTTCATCAATTGTTTCGGTTTTCTTCAAAGTTTTAAGCCCAAGAACTTCACTTTTATTGTCTTTTTCATAACATTCATTTAGATTACTTGCAATATTTTCTACAGCTTCTTCAATTGCTTCGGCTTTCTTCAAAATTGTAGTGCCAAGAACTTCAATTTTATGATCTTTTTCATACCATTCATTTAGTAAGCTTATGTAAAGATCTTCGTTAAAAGGGCTCGTCTTCAACTTTGTAACATCTCCAATATTAGCACCCAGGCCAACTAAGGAATTCTCAATCTCACTCCAGTAAATATTGAAATTAGTATCACTTACTTCAGTGCTCTTCTTGTGAGCATAAAGTACATTTCTGTAATATTTAATTCTTGTCAGATTAGCTTCTGGGGTAATGTCGGACGACGGAGGCTTCGCATCCCATGATCCAGTAGATCTAGGTGGGGTAAGACCACATATATTTCGAATTAAAATGAACAGTAAAGTGATATCATAATTACTGGACGATGTCGGTGGCATTCCTGGTGGGGGAAATAACAAGTTCATTTGTTCAAGATTGATAACTCGTCTTGTATGCAGTCTATTCAGTGTCGCACGGTTGGCATTTAAGACGGCAGGTAAGTTGGCAGGAGAGTGAATCGAATCAAGATACTTTCGCATTGTTTCAGTTCCTTGGTCAATAATTAAGCAGCTAAGTTTTGCTCCATTGGATTTCAGACGATTGGATGACATTCTGTATAAAAATCCTATATAAAAAATGAACGGTTTGGTTAGGGAGCGGGAGAAGGGAGCTATAGACAAACTCAGATCTAAGTTAGGTTGGGGGCAAGTTTCCTGGAAATTTTTGAAATCTAGTTCTGGGGGGAGATTTGACATTTTGAAACCAAGTTCAAGTAATTTTGTTCGTTTTGCATTTCAGACAACAAAGAATGCGACATTTTCTTATTAAGTTCTCCCACTCTGATCGTTTTTTTAATTGCCTGCATGGAGACCTATACCTGACGGCTAAGGCGGACCAAAATCAGTTAAGGCCATGTTACACGGTGCAATTTTTCTTGCAACTTGCAATGCAATTCTACTCTTGAGAGATGTTAATTAGTGAAACCAGTGAAGAATTTTCGATATGTTGAGAAAACATCAGCGGAGTGTAATCATGGATAATAAAATAAATGGATTGGAAACTTCTGACGTCATTGACTGCATCCTTGTTGAAAAACGTGACGTCACGCGTATTGCGAATATTACCAAAGTTCTCGGCATATTTGTTGTTTTGCTATATTTTCCACTTTAAAAGGGTGATCTTGAAGCGTAAACTGGTCTAATTGTTTTAAAAACATGCCTAAGCCACGACAAAGTATTCAAGGTAAATGTTTTTCGTCTTTGTTTTGTATTTTTTTACATTTGTAGCTACGAAATTGGCGTCACAAATTTTAACGAAATTTGCGATGTATTTTTCACTGTTTAGTGCTTTGAAATATTTGCTAAAATTGACTGGGAATACTTAGAGTTTTCATCGTAGAATGGCGTGGTTACATTTATTTGCTCTTTGACTAAAATGTTTAGCTGTATTATTGCTAAACATGCCGTTTTTGAGAATTTGATTTTCAACTAGGTTGAGGATCCAACCACGCCATCAATCCCAGTAAAAACATTAGGTCACGTCAGCTAGTTTCATATCCATTTATTTTATTATCCATGGTGTAATGAAGACACTTTGGCACTTTTACATCTCTCAAGAGTAGAATTGACCATTTGCGTAACAGACTAAATTTTGATCTAAACAAATCTATACAGAAATTTCATCACAGCTTGAAAGAGCATCACAAAATTAGTAATATTCCAAAGTTTCGTTGCGAAATGTTGTAAAATGCGGAAAATATAGCCTTGCGAAGTTTGCAATTTTCAGTCATTTTAGATTACAAATGGGAAATTGACAGCCTTGAAGGGTTTGGGGCTGTCAATTTCCCGTTTGTAATCTAAAATGACTGAAAATTGCAAAATTCGCAAGGCTATATTTTCCGCATTTTACAACATTTCGCAACGAAACTTTGGAATATTACTAATTTTGTGATGCTCTTTCAAACTGTGATGAAATTTTTGTTGAGATCAAAATTTAGTCTATTACGCAAATGATCAATTGCATTGCAAGTTGCCAATAAATTGCACCGTGTAACATGGCCTTTAGTCCTATGGTGTAAAACTGTAAATGCGCCAGGACTGACCTAGTGCCCTAGAATTAACCCTAAACTTGAAGCATTGGTTCAAACAATGAAGTACTGTTTAAAAAACGAGCAGGAGTGCTTTATTAGGTTTAAAGACACGAGCGCGCAGCGCGAGTGGCTTTAGACCTAATAAAACACGACCTGCTCGTTTATTAAACAGTACTTCAAACACGAGTACAGATTCAATAGATATACTGCCTTATTAGTATTCTTTATATAAAATATTTCTTAGGAAATTCCGAGGTTGCGTTTTTTTTTATACACCCTGTATATGTTCTGGAAAACATCACGTATGTTTATTATTCCAGTAAGCCCTAATGTAATATAATATTACTTACAAAGAAAGTTTTTTTGTAAGATATATGTAAACAGTTACCATTATTATTACATAGTACAACATGAGCTGTTTTGGCGTCACAATACTGACAAGTCTTTATGATTAGATGCTGCGTGTGACGTCAACATTAACAATTTAACTCAAGATGTTTGTGTGATGTTACTCTGAGTGTATATCCACACCGGGCAGGCCTGAAAAATATGCCTGGCCACGGCGGGATTCGAACCTACGACCTTTGGAATGCTAGCCCAATGCTCTTCCAAAGGTCGTAGGTTCGAATCCCGTCGTAGGTTCGAATCCAAAGGTCGTAGGTTCGAATCCCGCCGTGGCCAGGCATATTTTTCAGACCTACCCGGTGTGGATATACACTCAGAGTAACATCACACAAACATCTTATTCACCTGAGTACATTACACCAACACAGCAGATTTCATAATTTAACTCAAGTTAACATAATTACAGAGTACTTACATAGAGAGGTCTCACTTCAGGTTAATTAGCGTAAGGGGACGCTTCCCTAAAGAGAAGCTATCACCCCCCCCTTGAAAACATATTGAAACTTAAATGTTCCAGGGGGTGAATGCCTCTCTTTAGGGTACTTGTTAAGAACATGGCCAACAGCTATTTTGGTAAAAATTACCTTACGGTTTTCTCGCCAAAGTGAGACCTCTGTATGTAGCTGTGACATAATGCAACCACAGAATGCAACCACAAAATTGGGTGTGCCTATAAAAGAAATTGTTCAATTAAATCAACAAGCATTTTACCATTTTACCAGTCAATTTTGATAATACTCATTTTCAGGTGATAGTCACTTTAACATGACATATAATTCGCATTAATCGTGCGGAATTCGACACAAATACAAACATACATGGCCGTCACATTAATACTGACCGCAATTTGGCGACAACTAGTGACTTTCCAGAGTACATGAAAATGATCAGTATCTGCAATTTTTTTTCCTATTCGGTATTTTTTCAATACTTTACTAAAAACAGCCAAGCGTAAACCATTTCAAAAAGCAACTGACTCTCTTTACATATAGTGATATACAAAGTCATGTGACAATGGATGGTCTGTCGTGCACGAATTTGCAATTTGTTTTGATTCAAACGAGTGTTAATTGACAGCCAAGCATTAAAATATTTACCTGTTTAGATATATGAACAACTACTTCAGTTTATTGTATCAATCGAAAACGAGCCACAAAACCAAGGACCTTGCCGGCAAGGAAAAGGTGAATAACAATTTTTTTACACTGTAAGCAAAATTCTTTGGTTTAATTTGAAATGCAAATTCAATAGACAATACTATAAAGAAACTCAGCTTGAGGTCAGAGTTTATTTATTCGTCGAATATCAAATTCAAAATCCATAAAAATATATATAATTGAATTGACAATAAATATACAATTTACTTGCTCACTGACTAGTCAGCTGCTTGACTGGCTGACCGATAGCTGTGCCGACAGGCTGGCTGACCGACCATCGTGCTGGTTGACCGACTACCGACTGCTTGACTGGCCAACTAACTAAAGTGGGGGCCAACTCTACTCTCAATAATTAAGTAACATGGGGCTAAACTAGAACTTGGGGTTGACAAACATTGCAGCAAAAAGTGTGAACGAGCCTTTAAGGCCACCATTCCACCAGTAAAACCGTACTCAGTTCTTTGAATGTTTGCATGGCGATAAAATATAATTGTTTTTGTTTGTGGAAACACCACGTAAATTTATTACTGCAAAGCTTTCGATCCGTAAGCCCGGATCTTCATCAGTACATATTATTATGCACTGATGAAGATCCGGGCTTACGGATCGAAAGCTTTGCAGTAATAAATTTACGTGGTGTTTCCACAAACAAAACTATTATATATTTTATCGCCATGCAAACATACAAAGAACTTATTGTTGCGTAACCTGTTCACAACACGCGCTGTATACATTAAATGTTGCATGTACATGTTATACATTCGATATAAACGCTAAAGCCTTTTTAATAGCAAAACATTTTAAAAACATGTCAAACTAGGTCAAGCTAAGTTTGCTAACCGTGTCATTAAAATGAACTGGTTTGAGTCGATGTTAGTGAAATAATAGAATCCAAACCTCACGCTGAGTTTCTTTAAATATTGAATTTGCATTTCAAATCAAATCAAAGGAATTTCGCTTACAGTGTAGAAATTTGTTATGTCTTTGGGGGAAAAGCTTAGCACGTTATCTTTGTGGTTAATTTTCGGACTACGATAGACACAGAAGTTTGTCTTATCTATAAGTTAGTGTACTCTATATACGTCGTCAACGTTTGTTTCAACAAGACAACCGCTACAACTTTCAAATTATCGTCCAATCGAGAGACCATCTGTTTGTCCACTGTGATTTGTCATACGCCATATACTAACTATTACAGTAAGGTACGTAGGTGTTTATTAAAATGGCTTTTACTGTGGAAGTGAGGAGAACTACCCGTGTAGCAACATATAATACCTATCTAAGGTAGTCACTAATATGTATAATTAATTAACCTTGTGATTCTTGGCAAATATACATCGGTAGTAAAAACATTTAGCGTCATTCGCTCTTAGTGTCAATACATTTGAATCTGCCCAGCATGCATAGTGTCTCATCAGTGAGTTTCATAAAAGCTAAGCCTAAGTGGGTCGTTCAAGCAGGGCCGTAGCAAAGAGGCTAAAGCAGGGGGGGGGTATCGCATTTGCCGACAACATTTCAGTCGCTAATTAATATTTCTAAATTTCCCAAAATTGTTGGG